CCTCTGCCAGCCTGTATCTCCAGGAGATCCAAAGGCCCTCCTCTGGAAAGGCTGAATAATTCTTCTGAGATTTTTAAGTAAATCTGTTACAGACTTAGAGTCATTTTACTGTGCCCTCAGGAATCAACTTACCATTAACGTAACGTTCTTTAGTACATCAACCTTCATTTAGTGAATCAAACTTCGTTTTCAGTTGCTTTTGCAAAAATTAATATCCTCTTCTATGCTTTAAATTAAGCTGATGTTAAATGCATAAATGTTTTTATTATTTATTACCTCACTCTTGCTCTGATTGTTTTTATCTTTCACTCTTCTCATCAGAAAATATGTTTTATTCTCAGATATGTTTTTGTTGAGTGAAACTTCCAGAACTTCCAGCTTTCACACTTCGCATTTTTATATCTCACAGTTGTGTAGGATTAAGAAAACAAAACAATGTAGTCTTAATAAAAAGTAAACTGGCTTTATCCCTTTAGAGTACCAGTACTCTAAAAGTTTCTTATCTGGCCTCATTTCTTGAAATGAGAGCATTTTAATTTTTATTTATTATTTTACAAGCAATGAAGAAGCACTTAGGTGTCATGACTAGTGAATTTGTGAACAAGTATTGTTACGAAATATATAAGATAAAGGCTAAACCTAGTGACTGAAGTTGAGCTCCAGCATTATTTTAGTATTTATGTAGGTAGACCTAAGCCACAGAGGGTTCATTCACTTGTTGTATTTATGTATAATTGGACCTCTGGTAGAGAATGAAATTTCAAAAAATGTAGATTTACATGTATTGGTTAAGTTTATTTAAAAACGTTTCATAGTGACACAGTTTATGTGATACTTTGGTGAATTTAATTTAGGTAGAAGAACATAACATAATTTCAGTAGTATATATATTTTTTTATTTACAGAAGATAACTAGAATTGGAAACCATCACTGTTCATGCACTGAACTCATACATTCTGATTTCCTAACAGTTATTTACACTGTCCTGTGCAGCAACAGGAGGTGAGGGCTGGCAGTGGGCAGGGGGTCTGGGGAGGTCAAGGAAAAACATAGTTGTTTTGGTATGAAACTCCTGGCAGCTCCAGTAGGGAGAGCTGGATCCTCATTTTGAGGAGAGAGATGACGTTAAACTTTGCTCACTGGAATTTTAATTGGAAGATGATTATATGACCGGGTCTGCCATCTTATTCCTTCACTAATCCAGTCTCCAGCCTGCGCTCACAGCTCCTCCATCCACCGGCTGTTGTAATTATTCTGTAGGAGCCAGCCTGTGTCAACTACTTTCATTCAGTGTCACATAAGCATACTTCTTCATAACAAAAGTTACTATATGAAAAAAAAAAAAAGTGAAAATTTGCAAGTCATGGGGATATTTGCAACCAAGAAATATTAGCTACAAGCATTTGCCCACTGCCATCTTTATATTCAATGATTTTGGCATCCTAACCTTTTCACTTACATAGTCATTTTCACACTTGGTGTACATACTGGAGAACTGGCAATAAGACTGCAGCATGCAACCAGAGCCCTGACATACTCATCATTTATTGCTATCTAACACTGGACACAGAACTTTCCCTCTTCCCTCCCTCTTGCATGCCTAGCACTAAAACACCAGGATTAGAGCACAAAGTCAGGTAAGTAGCCATTAGGTAATGTCACACATCAGGATGCCCGACTTCAGTATTTTGGATAAAACTTTGTATTTGCAATTACTCCACAGTTGTTAACCCAGCTGAATCTCTAGGATTTTTTCTTCATTTTATAGGTAAAGGAAATGGAGATATGAGTTGAAAATGTATTTCCTGGAAACATTATGCAGTATAAGATATAGCAGCTGCTGCCTTTCCCCCCTTGAGTGCATTTCCCTGGCAATCCTGCTCCAGTGGGTGCTCACCTCTGAGTGGTCTTTACCTGCCATGGGGAATACACTGGTTTACATCACATCATGCTTTCAGGATGCTTTTCAGCATCTGCAATATGTTATAAAGATGTGTTCATTTCACCACCCCTTTTCATCCTTTTGGAGGAGAAGGGAGAGGAAAACCAGGGAGATGAACTTGAAGCCAATAAGCTGCAGAGAAGGAGAATCCCTCTAATTCTGAGACCCTCTTGTGGCAAGCCAAATGCCTTTGATTTCAGATAGGATTTTGAATGTAGTTCTTACATTTAAAAAAAAATGACTTAGGAATTGTCACTGTGTACTTTTGATAATTCCCAACCGAAAAACGAACAAGCAAAAAACACAAAACGAAAAAAAAACAGGAGAGTTTGAACTTCAGAACATCTATACTTAGACTAAAGGAAGAACTCAGAAGTCATTTTCCATGGACTGTCACCTAGCGGAAGATAACTCTGGCCACGCTATTTGTCTGCAAACTGAACTCTAAAGCTTGTGCACAGTTGGCTGTCCATCGGCATGGCATTCCCTTATGCTGCCCTTGGCCAGTGCCAGTGAGCACTCTCCAAGATGATGCCTAAGCATGGTTTGCAGGTAGCAAGTTGGTGTCAGACTGCCCCTTCTGGCCATGATCTGGCCACACATCTTGGCATCTTTGCATTGTGCCCCCAGCTATGGGTGTGATCTGCCCAACAGTGTTGGACTTGGCTGGCATTTGACCTCAGGCAGACCAGAGCCCTGTGTTTGGGCTGCCTGTGCTGGACTGACCCTGCTGGTGAGCACTGGCTGAGGTGACAATGCCCTTCAGGCCTGAGTGGGTCCTGGGACATCATCCAGGCCTCTCCATCTCACTGAAATTGCCTCTCTGCTGCAGGCAGCACGTGTGGGCTGTACATCTGGGTACAGAAATGCAAATTTTCTGGGGAGTATTAGGGTTGTTTGTCACTTACCACCCCAGACAAGCCCCCAAACACCGTTCTAGGCCAGTGCTTCTGCCATGTATGAATGTTTATTTTCTTAGACTCTCAGTCTAGTATATAAACTATGTGCAGAACTAAAGACATTAATGTGACTTTCTAAGAGAGAAAGAGTATGTGTTTAAGTAGGTAAAACTTGAGTGTGTCCCATTAGGGCTGGACTTTCTTTCAGTTCCAATAGCTGCAAAGAGCTGTTTTACACCACAGCCTGTGAAGAGCAGAGTGTATAGGGTCTCCCAACAGAGCAGCCCCAGGCCTCCTGGCTGCCTGGACAGGCAGGACAGCCCGCCTGGGACAGGGAACCACACGGGGCTGAGGGCTGAAGGAGTGTGATCCATTTTGGGTGCCATGTGGGATGCCTGTTGAATGCAGGAGGCTGCACAGGGCTTGCAGGAGAATACGGTGGATTCTTGGAAGAGCGCCTGACTGAGCTGGGTTATACAAACACAAACAGCAATTCCCAGTGCCTCTTAACTCAGTTTAACCTGTAAAGGGCTTCACAAGGCCAGGAAAAGGTTATCCCTTTGGCAGCAGTATTACCAAATGTCTCATTTTCACAAAACCACAGGGTGGTAAGAACTCTTCAGAGGCATTCAGAGGGATCTTCTGTGATGGGAAGGGTTAAGTGTAGTAGCTCAGTTTTTACACTTTGTTAATTGCCAGAGTTCCTACTGCAAGCTTTTATTTTGCAGATGTTGAGATTACAAGCAGCAGTGTGATCCTCTGGTGTGACCTCTGACATTGCCATTGCTGTGCTGAGCCAAATAACGTGTGGGTCAGTTTTGCTTTAGAAAAGTCTTAACCCTCTAAGTGGCAGAAACTTCTGCCCCAGTGGTTAATGGTTGTCTTCTGAAATGTACCCGTTTGCTTCTGGCTTTATTTGGTGCTATGTATTCTGCAGCTGAGAAAAATACTGAGTTGGTATTTCCTTTAGAAAGGGAGGTTCCAGTAAGCTTTTGCCTTACCTCCCTTGGGTAGACTGCCATCATCATTACTATGGAGCTGCTAGGAGGCTGAAGTGAGCCCTCTGCACCACGTAACAATGTCCACTGTGGGAGCTGTGGGTGGCACTGCTGCTGAGTGTAATATAAAGAGCAGTAACATGTCGGCAGTGAGCTGCTGCTTGCACTGCATTCAGTTGGAGTGGAGCTGGCACCGGAGGGCTGCCAACATGGTGTGTGCTGGGATTGAGTTCAGCTAGGATTTCCTTCCTTATAACACTCCTTTCTTGTCAGAAATAGTAATTCTACATGCTTACCTGGAACACATACTAGCATCAGCATTACTGACTGAATTAGCAGCTGAAGGCCAGGTTAGGCCAGAAAAACAGGACTGTAAAAGATATCAGTTCATAGGGATTGAGAGAATGCTCTGGCTCCAGTAGGTCAGTTCTCAACCTCTGTGAGCTATTTTTCTATTAAAGAAGAGGCCTAAGTTAATGAATTGTTGTGTGTGAGAATTAATGCTGGATGAGTCCCCTGTGGCTTTCATGGTGAGGGTCAAATAAAATATTAATGAAATTAAAACAAACAATCCCTGTTCTTCCCAAGTATCTTCTATATGAGTGTCTCAGCACCGGCCAGGGAAGATGAGGAATCCCACAAGGAGCAGGTCAGGGAAATTACTTGTGTTTTATGAGCAGGGAGATGGAGGCAGTGGAAAGCAGTGACTCAGGCCATGCAACTCAGCAACTGGGCCATGAGTTCTCCCATCCCATGCTTTTGCTCTGATCTCTGGGTTCAACTCCCTTTGGAGAGTGCTTCCAGAATCCAGCACTGGCCAGTTAGAGGCTGACCTTTCCAAATCTGGGATGGCCTCTAGGAGTGCTGACTCTGAAGTCAGACTTGTTTCCCAAATTTTCCAACGCTTCCAGAGCCAAGCATATAACGCAGAAGACAAGTGTATGTTTCTTGATGCTTCAACCATGGGACAAATTTTGTTGTCTTGCAGATTGTCCATCCAGATGCTGGGTACAGGAGCTTGTACAACAGACTGCAGAAGGACAGCCTCTTTGGATATGCCTGTGCAGTGCAGGGCAATGCAAAGGGTCTTGAGCTGGAGCCAAGCAAACCAGCTTCAAAAGCAGCATTTCTTACTCACCCCAGCACAGCTCCCAGGCTAACAGAATCATGGTGTTTTCATACTCTGAACTAGGAATCCTGTGGCATCATGGAGTGTTAAAATCTAACAGTGCTTTCAGGCCATGGCACAGATTGTAAGCTTATTCAGAGGGAGCTTGGAAATCTCCTTGCTGGTGCAAAGTTTTGTGCATTTCCGGGCATGACAATGGTACATGGAGAAACAGCAGAGGGGATGGAGATGAAAGAGGTCTAAGGAGATGCTCCAAGCTAAACAAAATGATGCTGTTTGTGCCATGCAACATCGAAGCTAAATGAATGTTCTTGCACCTATATTGGACATTGAATAGCATGAGCAAGACTTGTCACACATTCATCCTAACATGCTGGTATATGTGAGCACGTGTGTGTGGTCTGGGGAGGTGAGGGCTGTATCCTCCTTGCAGCAGAGATCTCAGGAGGCTTATTACACAGACTTAGATAATGATAGCACGTGACCAGTTAAGGATAACTTACTGCAGCGACAAGTGCAAAGAGGAACTTCTGAAGTCAGAAAATTAGTGGTGATTGTTTTTTTTTTTTTAAACTCTTATCTCTCTCTGGAGATAAATAAACAAGAAAATGGAAATACTGAAATGCTTTCAGAGGAAAATCAAAATACTGATAACTCATTCCTCCCTGCTTCCTTCGAAAAATTTCTGTTGCATCCTGACTGCCTCACATAATGTTTGTATCAGTCCTAGAAACTGGAAATCGGAGATGACAGTGAACAAATCCTTTCTCCTACTAATGGGAAAGTTTATTGCATTCTTGATAAAGATCCTTGCGACTGTGCATCAACTAAAGAAACAGTAATAATTTTGTCATATTTCTATAACAAACCACAAAAGGATGTTCCATAGTCTACTCACTGTTTCTCCCCATCTTCTTGTCTCCCTTTCAGTGCCCATCAGGGTCGTGTTGCCTTGCTGGTGTAAGCCCTCCCTTCCAGAAGACCTGCTCTTGCCCACCTCAGTCTCCCTCAGAACAGTGAAAGGGGGCTGCAGAGCGATAAAAATTTATGTTTTCGTCAAGCCGTGCCAAGGAGAATGGGGGTCCCACACCCAAAAGAATGAAGACACGACAGAACAAGGACTCGGTACATAAGATGGAAGGGGGAGGTGGGATCCCAGTGACCAGCAAGTGCTGTGTGTTGGGACAGGCTTGCAGCAGAGCTGGTGAACATGAGTTTGATGTGGTGGCGTGTCAGGACTTGGTGCTTTGGGAGGGCAGGGGACTGGGCAGGAGTGGAGGGAGGTGCAAAGTAGAACTTACCTGATGATCCTTCTCCAGATGTCTATGCGGAGTGGACGGAAGAAAGAGACTCCAGGGCCCCGAGAGGAGCTCAGGTCACGGGGTCGAGCTTCCCCCAGTGGTGTAAGCACCTCCAGCAGTGATGGCAAAGCTGAGAAATCCCGACAAGCAACAAAGGTAGTATGAAGTAATGCGCGGCTGTAGGGTGCCAAAGGGCTGCCCAGGATGGGCATGACCCATGTGGGAATGCAGTCCAGATAGGATCTACCATGCAACACATGCTGAGTTAGCTACCTGTAGGGGTTGGATTCCTTTCTTTTATCCCCAGCACTTTGTGCTTCCTGATATCTCAATTTTCAATACTGCTTTTTGCTATATCCTGGCTCAGTGTTGCCTCGACAGTGTTCCACTGCCTGCTATGATCTGCAACAGAGATGGTGCTGTGTCTTGCCTGCTGCCAGCTGGCAAAGCCGGGCAGGGTGGGAGATTTCCCTGTGGCCTTCTCACCTCTCTGTTTTCTCTACTCTGCCTTGCAGAAAGGCCGGGTGGAGGAATCCTGCACCCCCAAGGGCAGCAAGCAGGGCCGAACAGAAGAGATCTCTGAAAGTGAGGGGGAGGACAGCAGTGCTCCTAAAAAGACCAAAACTGAGGTGAGTTCTCTCTGTTGTGGTTACTGGCACATTCTGGACCCTGCCTGTGCTGCTCACACCTTCCTAGCTTGAGATGCTGTTTGCTTGAAAGCTCTGCCACCTCAGATTGTGCTCTGCAGCTCTTCTGCAGGCAGAGCCCAAGTGACACCTGCAGTTACACCTATGTAATTCCTCCATGTGGACGCTGCTCAGCTCAGCACTGCTCTTTCTTTCAGTTGAACTGCTCTTGTAGGCTCTGAGGCTCACTTGTTAGTTGCCCACATTAACTGCTTAATCACCAAGCAGTGGGGGGAGAGTGCAATGGGAAACACAAAGGGAACCCCAAAAGGTAAGAAGTGGGCTAGAAAGCACATGCTCTTGGAAAAGGACCAGGGAGCAGGCCTCTTGCTGAGCAGGGTGTCAAGGAAAGCCCTACAAAAGGGAAAACCGTGGGTCTGGGGGCTGTGTGGGTAGCGCTACCTCCCCCCTTGCTGTGCCACCTGGTGGTAGCACTGGCTCATTACTGGTGCTGGTGCTGGGACCTTGTAGGTGTCTTGTCTCAGCCTCATCTGTAACGGTTACTGTGCCTCTGAACATGAGGTGCCCATCATCATCTCCTCCCCAAGTGTGTGATGAAGTACCCAAGAGCACCTGAGCTGCTGTTCCAAAGGGCAGCAAAAGAATTGCCAAATGAAGCCTCCTTCCCACAGTGTTCTTATCTAATGCTAGGGACAGCAGAGGAAGGTGAGATTGAAAAGTGTCACGCATTATCTGGGAGGTCACATAACTTCTCCTTCCTCTCACTACTTCAGGAATTACCCTGTCCTCCATCCCCTTCTGACGTTGACAGCCTCGATGGCCACAGCTTCAATGATGAGATGAGCAGCGACCCACGGGACATTGACCAGGATAACAGGAGCACCTCACCCAGTGTCTACAGCCCTGGCAGCGTAGAGAATGACTCCGACTCATCCTCTGTGCTGTCCCAGGGCCCATCCCTCTCCTACCACCACCCTCCGCTCTTCCCCCAGAGCCCTCCGGTCGCCCCCACTTCTGACAGCCTGGCCCGTCCACCTGAGCCTGGCTTCAGTCTCCCAGGCGAGGCCCACCCCCAAGGCCCCACTGCTGGTGGCTACCACTCTCAGCTGGAGGGCCAGGCCTCTCGCATTTTCCAGGCTCCGGCCCCACAGACACCTGCCTCCTCTTCTTCTGCTGTTGCCACCACTTCTGCCCCCTGCTCTTCTTCCTCCTCCTCTTCTTCCACTTCCACCCATGCTCCTCTCTACCCTACGGCCAATGTGGTTCAAGTTGGTTCCAAAATTGCTGGTGGAGCAGGGGGCCTCTCAGCACCGGGGAGTCGCGAGCAGACCCTCAGCGCCAAGCACAATCCTCCACCCACCACTCCCATCTCACTGGCGTCGGTGGTTGGGGGGTTGCCCCCTCAGAAGACCTCCCCAGCCAACCCACCGCCTGCCCCCCCAGCCTCTGCACCTTCCTTCCCGCATGTCTCAGCCAACCTGCCACCCCCACCAGCCCTACGCCCACTGAACAATGTGGCAGCCGCCTCCAGCTCCCCAGGGATGGCAGGGCAGGCCTTGAGTGGGCATATGGCATCACCCCATGGGATAGGCCAGGACAAGGCACAGCCCCTGGCCCCCTCACGCTACCCCTATGCCCCTCCACAGCTGCCACCCTCCAGCTCCTCTGCTCAGTACCCACAGCCCTCCCCCACCCAGCCCCTGCCCAGTTACACTGCCTCCTATGGGCACTCCTTCCCCCCGCCCAGCAGCCTTTCGGTGTCCAGCCAGCCCCCCAAGTACACCCAACCCTCCCTACCCTCACAACCTGTATGGAGCCAGGCCCCTCCTCCCTACAGCCGCCCCTTGGGCAATGCCAGCTCCCATCTCCCAGCCTCCTTCCCCGGTCAATCTCCTCATCACCAGCAACCACCCCAGCAGCACCACCATGGCCACAGCAGTGGCGGGGGGGTCTCCCCAGCTGTAGCAGCAGCCCCCCCACAACCCTCTGGGGGCTATCCCCATGCCCTGGAGTCCAACAGCCATCACCCATCTCATGCCACATATGGGTTGCGCCTCTACCCTCCCCACAGCCAGGCCACTTACAGCCAGGCTCCCTCAGCTGCTACAGCCCCTT